CTCCATGATTATTTACTTCAGTGTTGAACAACTAACGATAACTTTGTTTATGAATTTATTGTTTGTTTCGTACATTACTCCATGCATTTGTACCCCCAGTCGCGTAGCGGGGAGGGGATTATAGCTATGCTCTCCGTCTATCCGTCCGTCAGTTTGTCCGTCTCTCCTGTCAGCTTGTCGGATCCGTCCAGAGCATACTCACAGCATACTGGAAGACTGACTGTAACCATCCCTCACACCTCTGTCTTTCCGGGTATATACATAACAAGGTAAAACTTGGACACCATCAGTTAAAGCAGTGCATTGCCAGTTAAACGGAACACCACCACGTAAAATATAACATTCCAAGATTTATATGTACGAGAGGTTTTCGAAAACATTACCCTCCAAATCCTTTTATGGAATGTGTCACGGTACGCTGATTTAGGTAGACCTCTGAGACACTGACTGATGGCTGTTCTAAGAGTCTGTCGGGTCTTGTATCGACGACCGGATCAGAACATTTTTTAGTTTTTGGAAAAATACACATGTAAAAAGTCGCATTGGGCTAGATCTGGAGAGTGAGGTGATGGGAGAAGACGGTATTTTTCTCCGACTTCACAAGTTCAAATGTATGTGATGGGGCATTATCATGAAGTAGATTAATCTACATAAATCCTGACACGGGGCGTCGTTTCTGGTAATATTCCTTGAGCATATTTAGTATAACATCCCGGTAATACCGACTTGTAACACGTTTGCCCTTTGGCACCGAAATTTGTACCACATACCATCACAAAAGAAGAATAAACAGAAAGGACCTTCTTTCAGCTCATGGCATTTTTGGCCCTTCAACCGTATTTGGTAAGCAAGTTTTGTTTACAATTTTTCTGACTGGTTCGAAGAAGTGATACCATGTTTCGTCATCAGAAACAATGTTTGCAACTTGTCTTTGATTAAACTTTGGAAACATTTTGTGCATTTGAAAAGTGTTTGTACTCGTACAGCTTTTTGGTCATTTGTCAATATGTGGGGAAACAATCTGGCAAAAATAGTTCGTACTTTAGAAATACGCTTCAAATGTAATACACTTGTGATAGCGGTATGCTAGCAGCATTGGCACTATCACGAATCTGGTACCTGCTATTCCCTGACATTTGAGACATTTGTCGTGCCTGTTACAGTCACAGGTCGGCCAGATTTTGCTGCATCTTTGACGGCCTCTGTGCCAGTCAGAAATTTCTTTCTTCGCCTGCGAACTGTATCATAAGATACATGTACTTTACGGCATGACCGAGCGAGTGTTGTGCAAACTTTTATAACCTTTGACTTCTTCAGTATTCTCAACCCTTTTCTCAACAATTTATACAACAGAGGACAACGATTGGCTTTATTGAAATTGCGATTAATTTAAAGTTGTGTTTAGCTGAAGGCTCGTGTATGTATCGTTGTAAATGCAATTAATGAGTCAATATAGCTATGCAGGCGTATCAACATTCACGAAATTGTGCAAAGCGTTATTGAACTTAGGTACAATACTCATTACATATCAAACAACCCTCTTGACAGCAACAGGTAAACCATCAGGTAAAGAGGGCATTACCTTTTAAAACCGGGACACCACCAGGAAGATACTTATACTTATACTCGTACTCACACTTTTTCGGGAACGTTGTTCAAATAACTATGTATTTTCCTCACGAAAATGATATAAAATGGCAACTGGAAATTATTGTTTCATCCATTTCAGCGCACATTCCGTCCTTTTTGTCTTATTAGTCGTTGTGAATGGGGTATATTTTTGTCTCTTGTTTAAATGGTGTAAATAAGAGAATATAAGACAACTGGTACAAGATATTAATAGTCTTTGCGTATCTTAAGTGTCTTCACTTGATGTTATTGGAATTTATTTGTGTATTTTTTTAGGAAAACGTCGTTTAAGCACCTCTTTTATCAATTGTCAAATGGCCACAAAACAAAACTGAGATATTTTATCTAATCGGTAGTTGCTTGTCTCGTTACATTTGGTTTAAGGTTAAATGTGATTTCAAGTAAACGAAAATGCTAAACAGATAACATGGGAATATTTTTGGTATCACACATATAAAGCTTTCTTTCTTCTTATCGTGACTTGTAAAAGAGACTTCACTGAGTTTTTTTGACATGACAGGACTAGATATATTGCGAGATATGTATACTGTTTGACGTAGTTTAACAAGTTTCAAGATTATTCACGGGGGAGGAAGTGTTACACGAAGGATGGAGTTCTTATGATAACTTGTTCAGGAGTTCTTGTGATAACTGTCACGGAGTTCGTCAGACAACATTTGTATATACTACAAAAACACTTGTTAAAAATGGTTATTTTCATCTTTCAAAAATGAGTTTTAGATGCTAAATTAAACTTTAATGATTAAGTTTGTCTTACATCTTGTATTATGTGTCAAAAACTAATTCACATGCCATTTTTAATCGCCTATTGCTTCAAATCTGGTAGTTTTCAGTAAAATTTCCAAATTATTTGCCAATTCACAAGTTTTGACCTGTTTATTTCTTGTCTTTATCCTTGCCATACATAATTACCTAATTATAATGCAAAATTGCAAACATAAAGCACCGGCTCACAGATATATACCCGATTTTTCAAATGTTCCGGAGTTCTTGTGATAACTCTGAAGATGTCACAGAGTTCTAATGATAACTTTTGTTATTGCCAATGTGTTTCTTGCGCTAAATCACGGCACGTTTTAGCATTTTTTATTATTCAATAAGATTATAAATCATTATGAAATGTAGTACGCTCATCCTTTGCGCAAAAAATAGGATATATAATGTTGGTTTTGAGTGAATTTTAGTTCAAGAGATATTATTTCTTACCCCCGTTTCTTTTTCATAGTATTTTTTTTTGTTTGACGCAGATTTTGTAGACTGAAAAAGGATTTATATACTGGTTTCCTAGCAGTTTCCAGCTCCTAGCAGTATTCTGGCTATTTATCATTTTCATCCAGGCATACAGACTATTTTTTCTCAGTTAAGCATCTATGTTACTGCATCAATCAATGAAACATTTGTTTTCTATGTAAAACAGCAGTTATAATAGTACAGCGATTAATATGTTTCAAAGTTTTGTCTCTTGTTTTAAGTTACATTAGAGAACTTGCGACACTTACAAGCACACCTGGAGAATTCTAGTTTGAATGCCCATGCACAATAACTGAAATCCCATTCTAGGTAAATCACTACTTTTAAACAATATATTTGCAGACGACACGGAAAAGTTTGGGAAGTTATCTACATGTGTATTTGAAAACCCAGCTTAACATTGCTTATTAATTGGTACTGAATCATATTCAAAATAAAAAAGGTTCGAAAAACTGCTATGAAATTTTGAATAAATGTGAGTAAAGTTGTTACATCTCAGGCCTTTATTCCATCAAAATGTAAAATAAAAGAGCAACATTAACCCATGATAATGCTGGACAGGTACCTAACTTTGTTCTGTCAAAGTTTGCATTCTTTGGTAGACAGATTTTTACTTTCACTTAAAGTGCGATTTGGTGCCGGGAACTGCTATGAAACCAGTAGGGCATTTATGTACGTGATAAAATGCGCTTTGATATACTCAAATATGGTATTTTCATACCTATTTCTCTGTCGATGTTTGATGAGTATTTCCCCTATGTAATCTTAGTGGAGGAAACTCTGCTACTTTTACTGTAATTGATAACAAAAATATATAGTCAAACTTAGTTTGCTTGAACCTGGAGGGACAGTTCAAATTTGTTCGAGAGATCGGTAGTTTATCATGTATCGTACTTTTTTAAGACATAGGTGTGGAAATTATCCTGGTTATATACTTATCTATTATGGTATAAAATGATACAAATTACTTAGCCCTTAGATAAGGGAAGCATGCCTATATATTGTCTGCTTAAGAAAGGTGGTTGCTTATAACATGTGAAACTAAAAACAACGTGTACGTTTTGAGACATTTTTTGTTTTGTGGTTTAAGCCATTATACTGCTGAATACCAGTGACCGCTGGTTCAATTTTTACTGTAGCTATTTATCCTTTGCAGACACTTAAAACCAACTTTTTATCCACATTTTTGTGCAAAGGATGATCGTACTGCATTTCATAATGATTTACAATCTTATTGAATAATGATAAACACAAAAACGTGCTATGTTTTAGCGCAAGAAACACACTGACAATAACAAAAGTTATCATAAGAACTCTGTGACATCTTCAGAGTTATCACAAGAACTCCGGGACATTTGAAAAATCGGCTATAAATCTGTTAGCCGGTGCTTTATGTTTGCAATTTTGCATTATAATTAGGTAATTATGTATGGCAAGGATGAAGACCAGAAATAAACAGGTCAAAACTTGTGAATTGGCAAATAATTTGGAAATTTTACTGAAAACTACCAGATTTGAAGCAAGAGGCGATTAAAAATGGCCTGTGAATTAGGCTTTGACACATAATACAAGATGTAAGACAAGCTTAATCATTAAAGTTTAATTTAGCACCTAAAACTCATTTTTGAACGATGAAAATAACCATTTTAACGAGTGTTTTTGTAGTATATACAGATGTTTTCCGACGAACTCCGTGACAGTTATCACAAGAACTCCTGAACAAGTTATCATAAGAACTCCATCCTTCGTGTAACACTTCCTCCCCCGTGTTATTCCTCTCTCCGTTTTTCCAGAATCATTATTTTTATTGTACAAAATCACCCAAAATGAAATTCCATTGGCTATAGATCGAACAAAAATCGACTTTCAATTTAATTTTTGGGATATTTTCTTATTATCATATGCACAGATTTAATTTTCACTTTAAATGATTCACTTGGTCTATGAAAGATTTTCATATTTTATGTTTATGATATATTTAGCTCGATCGCAGGGACTATTTGTGGTATTCAACCTTATTATTATTAGGACGAAAATGGTGGAAAGCGAAACAAATTAAGTACGAATTGTCTTAGAGATCTGTATCATTCAGATGTTCGCATTTTCAGAAACGTCTGGATGATACAGACTTTGGAAAGTTGGTGCTATGCTACAAATCAAAGTTTCTGACATCCTGATATCATTTGAATTGTTATATCCCATGTTTATTGTTATCAAAAATTTGAGTTAAACTTTGAAAGATATCGGAACCTTGCTAACATTTCTCCATGAAACTACCCAGTCCCTAATTTAGTATGATCACTTGACTCACGACACAAGTGAGTTGTGTGACTAAAATTACATGAATTATATCTGCATTTATTGAACATGTTTAACATAAATTGTTAGCCATTTAAATATATACCACCATTCATGCAGCAAACCAGTGGCAACCATATACGTAATATACACAACACAGTAACAGTGGTTTTTCCTCCAGCATCATTAGCTCAGCCATCAATTGTTAACTTTTGGACATCAGATGTTAGCTTTTTGTGTACTACAAATTTTATAAGCCGAAACATGTTAACATCCTATGTGAAATGGTAGCAGTTCCAGTCACTGGTGTGAAGAAGAAGCCATCTGTTATTTGCAAGACCTTACTTGCTGGAGGTATTAATTTTTTTTTTTATTTGGAAATTGTAACATGTAGTTTTTATGTTGGTTGCCTATTCTAACACATGACTTAGTGTGGTATATGGCACTTGCTGTCGGGTTGTCATTTTAGCAATATTATATAATGTCTGCCTAGTAATCCAGAGCACTGGAGTTTTATTTATACCCAAGTTAGTAGATGAAAATATAAACACATTTGGTTATGTAAAACAAGACAGGAGTCAGCTGTATTGACCAATGAATCTTGTGCAAGGGATTATGGGTCTGTATTGGGAAATTTTCTATTTTTAGAGCTTCCTATCCCAATGTAAGTCTCTGCCGCCACACAGAAGGATTATAACAATAATTGTCTAAGTGTGACTGGTCTTGGTAAAATTAACTCAATTGAAAGGAAATTTATATATACTGGGCAGGAACCAGTTTCCAGACAATACCAGTTTCCAGACAAGTATTATAACGGCTTAATTTTGGCTTTATCGATGATGATCCGTATTATATGTCATGAAGATGCTTGGTTTGATTGTTTGAGAAAATAAACTTCCTTCCAAGTTGATACATCATTAAAATTTCATGAGGATATCTTACCTGTGTTTTAAAAACAGCCTTATATCCCTTTGGGACATGTTATTTGTTCTGCGCATGCGCAATATTTTGTTTATTTCGGGATATAATTTGGGGTAGCAATTAATGCACAATGTACTTCATTTGAAGTTCATTGGGTGTAATTCCCCTGAGCTAAATCTGTAACGAATCGGAAAACGGTGTTTAGCTAGGTTTACTCCACTTTTGCACTTCGTTGCTACCTTACACACAAAAATATCCGTTTCACTTTTCAGTCATTCCGAGACCCATCACGTGATCGTTACTTTTCTAATCATAAACATTTTTCAGTAAATCAGCTTAATTATATAAGAAAGCTAATTTGTGTGAAGAATTTTTTTGTTATATTAGAATAATTATCAGTTAAAACAGATATGAATAGCAGCTTAATATATGTCCGGAAACTGGTTCCTGCCCAGTAAGCTCTTTAAAAATTAATTTGACAATGAGTGTGTTTGTTTGTAGCCTCCAGCTTAGAATACCATCATTTTTCTAATTTATCAAATAGTAACATAATCATAGGAGTATATTTACAAGAAAGTAATATGTTGAAATAAAATTAAAGCCGTTTTTATTATAATTTTCCACTTGCTATTTAACTCATAATTAACAAATGAAATATTAAATGGAAAAAAATTAAAGAATTTCATTAATAAAAGTTTGAAAACAGTGGTGAAAAATTTGTATTTTAACACACATGGTAAATGCTTTTTAAAACTCTGTGGTGAATTGTTACATTACATGTACCTTATCACAGTCACAGGTGTTTGGTGTGTTGATTGGTAACGGTGTGAAAAAAATTTATTTTCTCAACAATAATAGAGAAGATTGACAGTATGAAGTATGAATTTGTGCAAATGAAAATAAGGCCAATGATTAAGTAGGAAAGATAATGTAACATAGTTTAATTTAGAGTTTTATTGTTTTACACTTTATGAAGTTCATATGTTTATTTACATAGAAATTTTCAGGCTAAATTTAGATGTTTTCATAAGAGAAGAGATTTCATAAATATATAACAATAGAGGAAATTTGCACATCATAGTTGTAATTACTAAATGTGACGGGAATTGAATAAGTAATTAAAAATCACATTATATCACATATTAATAAAATTGAGAAAGCAAGAATCCCTAAAGATAGCCCTACACGGCAAAATTGAAAATGTTGCAGGAGACATTTGGCCACTGTCTTTGCCATTATACTTGGAGTCAAATGATGATGTTTTTCTAATTTTTTTTTTCAGGAATAGCAGGATGCTGTGCGAAAACTGTTGTAGCTCCCCTGGACAGAGTGAAAATTCTAATGCAGGGCCACAACAAGTTCTACAAAAATACAGGTTTTATTATCACAAATTAATTGTTTTACTTTAAATTTTTGATTTAGATAGAATAAAAGTAAAAAAAAGGATATTAAGAATGTTGACCGTAAAGGTGAGTTACTTAGTTGCTAATCTAGGTGGAATTTAAGAAGGCATGAAAGGCAGGAACTGTAGGGATATTTGACATGTGTCGTAAGATTGAACCAATGTCATGTATTTTAAAATTTACATATGTCTGGTATGAGCATAATGCAATATCTCAAATTTTCAAAATCCTTTGACATAGTGACTTTTTGTTTACTTTAGTTAAAAAACAATACAAGTTGAGTGTTCAATATTTCTTCCGTTCACTCTTGTATCATGTAATAAAACTTGTAGACTTTCTTTATTTGAAGTGTATACACAGGTGTTAGAATTTCTATAACAAGCCAAAATGACTAAAATACTTTTAAAATGGCCTGAAACACAATAAAAACAAGGAAACTAAACGGATATTTGATAGACATTAGTACATTTTGTTTGATATTTCAGGAGTTTATTATAGAATTAAATGTTTGATTGACTTGTGTATTTGAACATTTCAGGAGTTTATTTGTCTCTCACTGGTGTATATAACAAGGAAGGGTTCCAGGGTCTGTATAAAGGCAACTATGTACAGATGGTGCGAGTGTTTCCCTATGCTGCCATACAGTTTATGTCATATGAACAATATAGAGGGGTAAGTCATAAAACCAGGTAACTTGGTTTGTCGATTAATTTACATATAAATTATATCATGAAACTATAACTTATTTTCCATGAACAAGCTAAAAAAATTGTAACAGTGTTTGTTATCTATCCATTAATAGCTTAAATTTGTAACAAAAATATTTTGTATTCTTGAGTATGGCTTGTATCTCACTTAAAGTGGAGATTATATCTCACTTGTCATGATGAAGTCTATGCTTAATTAGGGTCTCTCCACTCATGTAGGGCACAAAACGCAGCTTTCGCTGTTGTGTACTGGCTCGGGACATGTCACCAGTCATGCCCTTAAAGGGTTAATTTTGAAACACAATGTGGTGATAATTCAGCTCCATGCAATTTCCACAGGGTATTAACCAAATGAGAACCTAAATGCCCAGTTATATGAGACAAGATGAAAAGAAGGATATGGCCTTGAAAAGGGCTGTTATGCCAGAAAAAGGCCTGCATTCTCTTTGCTTTTGGCTCACACACCCTAGCACACTTTCCTTGTCGTCCCGGCCTACTTTTTATGGCCATTCACTATGTATTACTGTGTATTACCTCCCTTTATCTATTGAAAATATTAAAAAGAGAGGTGATACATGGTTCAATTGTAATGTAAGGTCATACTGTAGTTACATAATATTCTTATTTCCTTATTTTACATGATAGCAAGATATATATCTGACAAATTTAAATATTAATTAACAATAAAACCAAGAATTTATGAATCTTGTCACTGAAAACTTGATGTTTAAAGATTCAAAATAGTATATATAATAGTATATTTAATTTAAAGACCCATTATGCCTCAAAAATGCTTAAATTTCTCAAAAGCTTTTTATTTTTGATGTACTTTTTTAGTTTCCATAAAGTTACTCTTGTCCAATTGCCTGAAACATTTCTTTTTTCCTCTGTTGCTTTTGGCAATTGGTACACTTATAGTTATTGAGTATTTTGTATGGAAGTCAAAATAATACTTTGTTTACATTTTACAACTTTTGTGACAAATATTTCAATTTTAGCGCTACTTTGGTAAGATAACAAGCATTGAACATTCTCTAAATTCAGTATTTTAACATTATAAAACCCATGTTTCCACTTTCTAAAAGAGTAAAAATGTATTCATTTCTGAGGCATAATGTGCCTTTAAGATTTGCTGTTCTTTTCCTGAATGTTGAGAATATTTTTTATTTCAGTATTTACAAAGAATTACTCATCATGATCATCATCATTTGGTCAATCTTTGCTCAGGATCTCTGGCAGGTATGTAGCTATCAATTCTAGTGATTATTTTATGTAAGATAGAATCTGAATTTAGACCTTTTCCCACTTGATAAAATAGATGAAAATGCCCTTTATTACCTTATATTATTGAACACTGGTATTTAAAATTGTGTTGGTTTTTGATCGATTTGTCCTATCCTCAATTATCTAAAAAATTCCTGTCTTGAAAATTCTGCAAAAAATATGAAGATTTCCACTAACCAGCATAACATTTGAACTTATAAACTTTTTATTTAAAAAAAAACCCTACTTAAAGATGTGTTTCATAGACTTATGTATTCAAACAATTTTTATTGTTGCTATGCTAAAATTTATAAGGCACAGGTTTTGTAAAAAAAAAAAAAGAGTAAAAAATCTCTCGTAGTTAGTACATGAAATATCAAACTTTGGTTGAAACTTCACACACTTATCTGAGAGCATAAAAGGACAACCCTGTTCAAGGCCCATAACTCTATCATGGATTTTTGACAGAATTATGGCCCTTTTTGAAATTCTTCATTATTCAGTCTCTTGTTTTACTATCAAGCACTTGAGTAGTCAAACATGCTGTCTTACTGATAGTCTTGTCAAAAAATGATTACCTCCCTTTGTCCATCAGCTTGGTTTATGCTCATGCTCATTTGACAAAAGCAGTTTCATTTGACATGAAATTAACATTTTAAGGATTGTTTAAAGTAAACATAAGTAAAATATTGAAAATACTGTTAAAAAAGAAGTGTTGAAGTTTATTCTTAAATATTTAGCTCTTATTTAGTGCTAACAGTAATAATGACATCCTTATGTCATTATTGACAAAACAACATCACTTGTTTATGTCAGGCTGATATTTATGTTACTTTTTTACTATTTAAATAAGAATGCTTTAGTGAAGTATTTCCTTGTTATAATGCAGTTATTTGTTTACCATCTGGCTTGTTAATGACTTGGTATTTGTAGTGTATTTCTAGGGGTGATGCTGATATTTATGTTATTTCATTGGTGTATGCTGATTTTGTTGTTTGTCCCTTAAGCATGTATGCTGATATTTATAATTTTTATCCCCTTGGTAAGATGCTGATATTTATCCCTTTGATGTTATCGGTAAATCCTGATTTTTATTTGATTCCCTGATGTGATGCTGATATTCATGTTATTTATTTACTTTTTAGGCATGACTGCTGTTTTAGCAACATACCCTCTTGATGTGATGCGAGCAAGGATAGCCTTCCAGCTTAAAGATGAGCGGATATACTTCGGTGTTCTTGATACAGTTAAAACAATATCACAACAAGAGGGCAAGTGGGCATTGTTTCGAGGTATCGTACCCACTCTTCTTGGGATGGTTCCCTACGGAGGTAAGCATGTAACTTCATGTTTAATGTATAAACAATAATTTAGCCACTAGTATATAGAAGGTTTACAGTTCTTCCGAGATGTCCTTTTATGTTTTATCACTGAATTATAATGCACAAATGGCCACTTTAGGTCTTCCTTTACCAAGTGAGGAGCCTGAAAGAATATTGTATGACCTTAACAATCTTGTTATAATATAAAACTCGGCTAGCAACAAATGTAAGAAAATTATATTTGAAATTATGTTTCTATTGGAAGTAAATTATCTAATGCTATTGTATTGCTAAAATTGCAATAAAGTGTTATGTGTTTTTAAAGTAAGCAAATTAGTTTATGTTTTGAAATGTGAGAAAGATCAGGGACTATCTGGACTAATGAGTTTATTTATCCTTAAGTGCAGTGCAAATTTGCTTGGTTCTATACTACAGACATAGGGGGAGGGACAGTGGTGTAGGTTCAAAGCATTGGACTCCTAATTTTATAGTCTCGGGTTTGTATCCAATTGTGGTTGGATTCTCTTTCATTTTCAACAATCCACACTTGTGTGATAACCAGTTGTGACACCAAGCAAGTTGTCAATCGGTGTTGCAGCTTCTCATAGCAGCATCTAGTTATAATTGGATACCAAATGTTGGAATATAACAGTAGGAATAGCTTGCAGGGTTTAATTAATGAGATCAAATTTGAAAGTCTTATATTTATACCCCCAAAAACGAAGTTTGGGGGGGTATATAGGAGTCACCCGGTGGTCGGTTGGTCGGGCGGTCGGTCGGTCGGTCCAGACGTCCGTTGCATTTTCCTTGTCCGGACCATAACTTGAAGACTAATGGTTGGAATTCAATATAACTACATACAATGGTCAAGCACATTGAGGGGAAGTGCAGTGCACAAGAACCATAACTCTATCTTGACTAATTACAGAGTTATTGCCCTTTGTTACTTTTCCTTGTCCGGGGCATAACTTTAAAACTACTGGTTGGAATTCAAAACAACTTCATACAATTGTCAAACACAATAAGGGGAAGTGCAGTGCACAAGAACCATAACTCTATCTAAAGTAATTACAGAGTTATTGCCCTTTGTTATTTTTCCATTCCTTACTTTTGTCCGGACCATAACTTGAAAACTAATGGTTGGAATTCAATATAACTACATACAATGGTCAAGCACATTGAGAGGAAGTGCAGTGCACAAGAACCATAACTCTATCTTGACTAATTACAGAGTTATTGCCCTTTGTTACTTTTCCTTGTCCGGGGCATAACTTGAACACTACAGGTTGGAATTCAAAACAACTTCATACAATTGTCAAACACAATAAGGGGAAGTGCAGTGCACAAGAACCATAACTCTATCTAAAGTAATTACAGAGTTATTGCCCTTTGTTACTTTTCCATTGCTTTCTTTTTTCCGGACCATAACTTGAAGACTAATGGTTGGAATTCAATATAACTACATACAATGGTCAAGCACATTGAGAGGAAGTGCAGTGCACAAGAACCATAACTCTATCTTGACTAATTACAGAGTTATTGCCCTTTGTTACTTTTCCTTGTCCGGGGCATAACTTGAAAATTACTGGTTGGAATTCAAAACAACTTCATACAATTGTCAAACACAGTAAAGGGAAGTGCAGTGCATAAGAACCATAGCTCTGTCTAAAGTAATTACAGAGTTATTGCCCTTTGTTATTTTTCCATTGCTTTCTTTTGTCCGGAGTATAACTTGAAGACTAATTGTTGGAATTCATTATAACTTCATACAATGGTCAAGCACATTGAGAGGAAGTGCAGTGCACAAGAACCATAACTCCATCTTGACAAATTACAGAGTAATTGCCCTTTGTTACTTTTCCATTGCTTTTTTTTGTCCGGAGCATAACTTGAAGACTAATGGTTGGAATTCAATATAACTTCATACAATGGTCAAGCACATTGAGAGGAAGTGCAGTGCACAAGAACCATAACTCCATCTTGACAAAATACAGAGTTATTGCCCTTTGTTACTTTTCCTTGTCCAGAGCATAACTTGAAAACTACTGTTTGGAATTCAATACAACTTCATACAGTTGTCAAGGACATTAAAAGGAAGTGCAGTGCATAAGAGCCATAACTCCATTTTGACAAAATACAGAGTTACTGCCCTTTGATACTTTTCCTTGTCTGGAGCATAACTTAAAGCGTACTGGTTGAAATTCAAAACAACTTCATACAATGGTCAAGCACAAAAAGAGGAAGTGCAGTGCACAAGAACTATAATTCCATCTTCAGTATTTAAAGAGTTATTGCCCTTTGTTCCTTTTCTTTGTCTTTCTGGACTTATTACAGAGTAATTCAATTAGACTTCATCAATGGCCAACCACATTGAAAGGAAATGCAATATACAAGAACCACAACTATCTTTAATTGCCCACAACCATAACTCTATATTTCAATTCTTTTACAAGGTATTCTGTTACTAGTAACATCCTCATTTCCGAAGCAGTCTTGTGGGGGTATTAATCACATTTAGTGATAGTTCTAGTTTGATATGATTTCAGGAATTTCTTTCTACACTTTCGAAACTACAAAAACATTCCTCCTGGATACGTTCCCAGATATTTTTGGCAGTCCATGTCCGAAAAATACAGGTGGACTGGTGCTTATTTTGCCTGCAAAACTGTTGTGTGGTAGCATGGCTGGAGCAACAGCACAGTCTATTGTGTGAGTATTCTACATATGTACCAGGTAGCATTAATTACAGGACTGGGTTTATAACCCAGGGAGTAGCTGGTTCAATCCTCTGGTGAGGGATAATTTATCTGTGACAATTGGTGTTGGGCATCAGATGTTATGGTCTTGTGTCTCCCCTCGCTGATGGGTTTAGTAGTTGGTCACTTGCTAAGATATTGGTAATTACTGGTTAGTTATTCAGGAAAGCTGGTAAGGTGGGTTGACCCTTTTGAGATTCAACCAAAAATATGTTAGAAGTTGCAAAAAATTACAAATAAAATGAATTAACATTGCTGTTAAAGTAACAAAGATCGTCCTTGGCACCTGGTTTTTGGATGAAATATCTTTCTAAATTGAAACTGAACTGAATGTTTGAGAGGAAAAGTTGTTTCATCATATTTGTGTAACTGAGTTATTTTAAAGGCTGTATGCTTCAATCATAACAAATATTGATCTGATTTTATTATTATAATACTCATATGTTTATTCTGTTGTTTTTTTATCAGATACCCTTTAGATGTCGTCAGAAGAAAAATACAGTTATCTACCATGTTATGTGAACCTGACAAGTACACTGAGTGAGTTTTAAATTTTACACCTTGAAACTTTGAAGATTGTTTAACTTTGTGCACAAATTGGGTATGGTTATTTATTGATTGTTTCCAGGGGGTTTTCTAAGGTATCATAATTTTCCAAAAGAAATATATGAGATTTATTGACCTATTCTGTCCTATAGGAGTGATTCTCAGACAAAGATTTTTTCTAAAAATAGATTCATTGATAAGAAATGCCCATAGCAACAGTTGCTGGTCGGACAAACTTTTTGTCTCATCTGTTACCAGTCCTATAGAATTAATGTTACTTTCAGGGTGGAGCCAATGAAAAAATAAAAGTTTAAATGAATTTTACAGTATAAATGTATAGATGTTCCAGATACACAGTCAATGTATGAAATGTAAATTCCAGATACACAGTTAAAACATAAATGCTCTGGATGGCGTATGCCCATTGATATTGAGAGATCAATATGTGTGACGTAAAAATATTTTATATATCTACCGGTATTTAAAACTGTCTTTAATCTAAATACATTTTGATTTTTATTATGCCCCCGCCATGTAATGGCCGGGGCATATAGTGTTACCCTGTTCCGTCATTCCGTCCTTCCGTCCTTCCGTCCTTCCGTCCTTCCGTCATTCCGTCAAAGTTGGAATTTGGTCATGGTTTGATGATTTTTTGGCAGAGTTATGTCCCTTTCACTTTGAAAATAATATAGATACATCTTAGGAATAAGCAGTTTAAGTTTGAATTTGGTCGTGCTTCAATGATTTTGGACAAACTTATCTTTCCTGAATGTTGGAAAAATTTTGAACTTTCAGTTTCAGCACTCATACTTTTAGCCATTATTTTGGCTACAAATATGCAATATGCTATTTTTAAAAGGTTAAGACTGAATAATTTCAGTGCCTTGAACATTGTATGAAAATGGTTTGTGTTAACATTGAAAAGTTTTAAGGGCTTTGAACTTAAAATGAAAAAAATAATTAATGCACCATCTGAAATTTTGGCTGCATGCGGGGGCATCCGTGGCACTATGACACATTTTTTTTTAAAGAAATCTCTCTTGCCATAAAAGAAAGTACTAAAACTCACAATAATCTCCAATAATAATTGCCAAATTGAATCTTGTACAGGATTTTTTTTCAAGCAATAAATATTGTATTTTTGTTGATAAATGTCCATCATAGGGCATTGCTAATTGAATATGAGCCGTGTCATGACAAAACATACATAATGGGTTTGTGACCAGCATGGATATAGACCAGCCTGCACATCCGCACAATCTAATCAGGATCCATGCTGTTCGCTTACCAACTCTACTACAAGTAGAGAAACTGATAGCGAACAGCATGGATCCTGATCAGACTGCGCGGTTGCGCAGGCTGGTCTGGATCCATGCTGGTCGCAAACGCACTATGTTGGTTTTGTCATGACGCGGCTCAAATTATAACTTTGATAACATTTGATTTTGATCATTAATAGTTATTAATAATATGATAAAGTCATAGCATTCAATTTGTATTTAGTTAAATCCTATAATTATTCCCTCTATAATTATTTCCTTTTGTATCATTATTAAAAATTCTGATTCAGATGATATTTGTAAGAAAGCTTGAAAAAAGTTCAATTGGAATTAAAATTAAATTGTTGATTAGGGAATAGTAATAACACTTAGATTTAAATGTTTGACCCAGAAGATTATCATGCTTTGATTTAAATTTTTAAAAACAATGTTATAATTTAATTATAATTCTTAGATCCAGAAGAATAATTAACCTTGGATTTTAATCTAAATTTGATGAGATTCAATCAATCCTTATATTTATTCAAAATTATGTGTGGTAAATCGTTTATTAAGAAAGTTTAGTAACTCATTATCATTTCTATTTGGAGAGTTGATAATACTTTACTATATTTTTTATTCAGAGGATTAATTAATAATTTAAGTTTCATTTTCTATAATACTTGGATTCACATTAATTTAAGTTCTGATTCAGAAGTTGGCCATGATAAACAATTTCTGGATTTGAACTTTTTTGATACAGAAGATTTATTAATACTATTAAATGGCACATTAGAATATCTTTACTCATAATTATGTTCATTTTTCTTTTATATACATCGTAACATTTCATTTTTTTTTATTTTATCAATAACCCATATCTAAAGATTAATTCACCTTCGATGATAACTTTCTCTATACATAATAGATAAATAACAACCAAAACTTTAGGATCCATGATATTTTTTTGTAAGATACGGTATATTGCTACAAACATTTAAAAAGCTCACTTTTCCCAAAGTTCCTTTTAATTCAATATCAATTCTAACATCTATATTGTAGACATATATTATGGTCAAAAGGAAAATGCTCTGAGATAATTGCAAGATCAAAATTTAGCATGAAGGCTATCATTTTTCAAGAGTTTATAGTGTACATTCTATAATGTGTAGCACAATGTTTGTCCGACTTTCCTGATAATGTGTATCACATTATACACATAAAAGGTGTTGACGACCTAGTTGTAAATCCCTCTTAAATTTTTTGTACCCTGGATGTCAACACTAGCAGTTCTGCTTAAAGATAACACTTTATAAAAACAAAAAAAACCTGTAAATTTATTTTATTCATTGTTCACATTCAGTTGTCTATGGTTTGATATGTCATAAAATCTAGAAATATTTTTTTTCTTTATTTCTTCAATTTAGAATTTAATGTAAAGTGCGTTAAATCTCATCCAATGAATTAAATACTTGGATGAATTTGTTTTTCATTTGAATTACTTCCCTTTGACCATAAAATAGACTGTAAGACATGAACCATTAAGAGTAAATTTTCTCATTTCTATCGTTTTCAGCAAGTCCTTGTGGTCCATATTAAAGACAATATATCATGAGCATGGGATAAAGAATGGTTTATATCGTGGAATTACTATCAACTATTTACGTGTAGTACCGATGACGGCAGTTTCGTTCTCGGTGTTCGAGACAATGAAGCAGTTACTCGGACTGGACACGGGTGTTTCTAGATGATACCAGTCCATGAGTAGTCATCAGAATTGTTCATCATTCCAGCATTCAACACTTACCTGTTAACCTACAGAATTCCCAGAATCTGCTTGTCTAACTTCCATTTTTGAAACTGTTCATTATTGATTTTAGGGGTATGTATTTTGAAAATTTGGAAGTTGGTCAGCCACCAGTATTGAGCTTTGTCATCAGGCTCAGATCTGACATTTGTAGAGGTTGCATACATTGGTGCAGTTTGGTTTTAGCCATGTATGGCTTGAGTACAAGCTTAGGTTTTAGAAATTAAGTTTATAAGGTACATATTATAGAGTTTTAAGATATCTAAACTTATGTGACTAGCAATATCAGGTAAGCCAGCATATTGGTGCAATCAGACCATACTCTTAACACTAGGTTCTCATTTTAGTTTTGTAATACTACAATCTCCCCGACAGGGACTTTGGATTCTTTCATGTGAGGAAGCTATCCAGCTAGCTTACGGAACGTCGGTGGTTCTACTCAGGTGCCCGTGTGTGCCTGAAATAATGCACTGAAGGGCACCTGAGGTCTTCCTCCACCAGTAAAGCTGGAACATCGCGATATGACCTATACTGTGTCGATGTGACGTAAAACCCAAAACAAACAAAACTACAGTCTCATTCAATCTCAGAAACTAGCAAACAAAATATTATGCAAATTGAGCAGTATAAGAGTATAAGTAACTAAATCCCTTTTTGGAAGAGGAGATTTTTTGTTATTTAAAGAAAAAAAGTTGTGGTTTGCTTGTGACATTGATTAAGCTGCTGTTACGAATTAACACAAAAACTATGCAAAATTTAAAACATTTATTCTCAGAGTTTTTGATAAAGAAAGATCATTGTCATTTTTGGTCATTTTTAGCTCGACTATTCGATAAGAATAAGTAGAGCTATTGCAGTCACCCGAGCGTCGGCGTCGGCGTAACCACTTATGTTAAAGTTTTTGTAATAGTTCAAATATTTTCAAAGTCCATTGACATATGGCTTTGAAACTTTGCACACTTGTTCACCATCATGACCCCAACCTGTAGACAGGAGGAGGTAACTCTATCAAGCATTTTGACAGAATTATGCCCCTTTTTCGACTTAGAATTTACGTTAAAGTTTTTGTAATAGTTCAAATATTTCAAAGTCCATTGACATATGGCTTTGAAACTTTGCACACTTGTTCACCATCATGACCCCAACCTGTAGACAGGAGGAGGTAACTCTATCAAGCATTTTGACAGAATTATGCCCCTTTTTCGACTTAGAATTTACGTTAAAGTTTTTGTAATAGTTCCAATATTTTCAAAGTCCATTGACATATGGCTTTGAAACTTTGCACACTTGTTCACCATCATGACCCCAACCTGTAGACAGGAGGAGGTAACTCTATCAAGCATTTTGACAGAATTATGCCCCTTTTTCGACTTAGAATTTACGTTAAAGTTTTTGTAATAGTTCAAATATTTTCAAAGTCCATTGACATATGGCTTTGAAACTTTGCACACTTGTTCAACATCATGACCCCAATCTGTAAACAGTAGGAGGTAACTCTATCAAGCATTTTGACAGAATTAAGCCCCTTTTTCGACTTAGAATTTACGTTAAAGTTTTTGTAATAGTTCAAATATTTTCGAAGTCCATTGACATATGGCTTTGAAACTTTGCACACTTGTTCACCATCATGACCCCAACCTGTAAACAGGAGGAGGTAACTGTATCAAGCATTTTTTTTACTATCAAGCACTAAGAATAGTCGAGCGTTGCTGTCCTACCGACAGCTCTTGTTATTCATGTTGAAGCCCTGTGCTCATCAGATTTCAGTTTATATGCAGAGATGATTAATTAAAATAAAAATTAATCGCTATGTCATCATTAAAAAAAAAGTCACCTCAGGGGAGATAGAGTTAGATTAAGTCAGGGTAGAAAAGGTTACATTAAAAGTAATTCAGGATAGTTGTCAGTACTCAATCATAAAATTTTTAGACATTTATTCTTTGCCATGAGTTTTTGCCCGGCACATTGTTAACTTTCAATCATTGTAGCTCCATTTCAAAACTGTCAGTGTTTTGTTATTTTAGTTCCATTTAATACTGTTAATTTTTAAAATCTAGTTCCACATTTTTAATAAACTTTTTTTATCTTTTTCATTGTCAAATTTTTATTGGCAAGGTGAAGTTTTTTTAATTTTAGATCCTTTCATTTTTGTTACAGTTATTATTTTAGGTTTCATTTCACTGTAATTTCAAAAGAGAAAAAAAAGTAGGTGGATGAAGTTTCTTATATTACTATGTTAAAGTAACTATATGGTAAAATCCTGTGTTCAAACTATGCATTCATGTTTGATATCCAGTGCCGACGCTGTTGATGTTCATGATGAATGAACATATTTCATCACCTTTAGTGCAATAACTTGTTAACTCCTATTAAATCTAGAAGAACTTAACCCATTACTGCACTAAGGTGACAAATATGTGTCTGCAGATAAATATGCCATGTCATTTGTGTTTTGAAAATATTGATACTAGTACATAGATATTCCTCAGAAAGAAATCCAATTGCCTGCTTTGAACCTGGAATACTCAAAGAATACTGGGGTATCCTATACACCCAAAATATCCATTAGCTTGGGCATTTATAAGACCTGGTAACGATTTTGTGTGTTACCTCATTTCTCATTAACGCATGAAGTTTATCAATTGAACTTTTTTACATATCTGCATACAGGATCTTCATTGAACGAAACTTAGAAATAACACATAATTGTAGAATGTAAACCCATTTTTCTAGTGTGAAAACCCACAATTCTAGTATGAAAATTGTTAAGTCTAGTATGAAAACCCACAAGTCTAGTATGAAAGCCAAAAATTATAGTATCCCCCCCCCCCAAAAATAAAATAAAATAAAAATAAAATAAATCTAGTATGAAAGCCTACAAGTCTAGTATGAAAATCCATAATTTTAGTATGAAAACCCACAAGTCTAGTATAAAAGCCAAAAATTCTAGTATAAAACCCATAACTCTATTCAGAAAACCTATAATTTTGATGAAAGCCTATAATTCTAGTATGAAAACCCTCAAGTCTGGTATGGTGGAACTTCAGCATAGTTTCATTATATTGTACATACTACAGTGGTCAATGTCTGCTATATAAAATTATATTTAATTTGAAATGCTGGGTCTGAAAAGAAGCTCACATACCTGAGGGTGAGATTGTTTTAGGGTATTTAATTTGTGATACAGTTACTTTAATTTGGTGCAATTTTGTGATTGTTTTATTATTACATGTATAGATAAAATGAATGATTTTAGTACAAGATTTATATATATGATTGTTGTTTGTTTTAGAAGATTATAAAAGAAATCCTTGTACATACCTATTATTTATTTGCATAATACATGTATGTTTTTTATTATTATTTTAAATAATTAAAACTTTAAAGTTGATTTAGTTTCTATATGATGTGTTGTTTTAATTTATTTGTAAATAATTAAATATAGTTTAAGGACAAAGAAAAATCTCATTGAGAACTTAGCCTGTAGAAAAGATGTAAAACAGCATTGCTTCCAGTGCAGTTTTTTTGTTTTAATTTTTCATAACTGCCATAATATTTAAACTATTGCATACACATTTAATTGACCAACCACTATTGTGTATATAGTACATTGTATTTGTGTTGAGCTTTTTAAGGTACATTGTAAAATTCAGTTATTTTGACATTGTTGCTTAGTTATCATTAATTCTTGAAGGCAATGGCAAAAGCAACAACTAAATCCTGTTGATGGTTACATATATTAGAATAGATAATTTGAAAAAATAAGTTTGCTTCTTCAATATGAAGACATGGAAGAAGTCTAGTAAATGAAGAAAAATTACAAATTTTACTTTTCATAGTTTGTTTTGGTGATATTTATTGTGGAAATACATTTTTTCATGTAGATGTAAATAGGGTAACCTAGCAGAAGTGGTATGTTTCAGTGCTTTTTAATTTGACCTCCTATGAAAATTTTCAAATTATTTGTCTCATCGCAAAACCATGTGGCAAAGATATTCATATATCTACCAACCTTCATATCAGTGGATGATGTATTGAACCATGACAATGTCAAGGTCAAGAGCTTATTCTATGTCAGTACTGAACAGTTCAGGTGCCAAGGTTTTAAACAAATTCTCCAAGCTCAGACTCAGATCTCAGGTAATTGATTGGTCAGAAACTCTCACAGAATGTACACTGACCAATGAAAATCCTGAGAATTTGAGACAGAACTCAAAAAGAAGTTTTATAAACATGAGAATAAAAGAAAATGTAGATATGTTACTTGGAATTCTAAGAAACAATGCTGATTAAGCTCTGAAAATATAATTTTAGTAATGACAATATCTAGTGCAATAACACCCATAATTCAGGATTGTTTTCAGTATTAATTACAGCTATTTAGTTTTATAAGAAGGGGGTTTTAATTTACAAATATTCAACTCTGTGGAGGGTTTTTCAATGGAAATGTGCAGTGCAAGTAGGTATAAACAATTTCTCTTGTGTGCAAGTCTGTCTACATTTGTCAAGGGATTTCAACCAAACTTTCACTGAATGATCGTCACCAAATGCCCTAATGCATATTGTCAGGATTTTGGAATATGACCAGTTTTAAGAAGAACTAATACCTTTGTTTTGTTTTCCAAAAAAGTAATAATAAAATATGTAGGATTAACAGAAAACCTGGTTTTTGCGACAATTTTCAGTCACTTATTGCATGTATGACTATTTTGTTTGAAGAAAAAAAGTAAGATTTTATAAAAGCATTACAGCGAGGGAAAGCACTTTGTTCAAGGGTGACAACTCTTATGTATATTTCAACCTTGATCATTCATTTGTATGAGGTGATCTAATATGGCTCAGCATTGTTTTATGTGTCAGTTATAATGCACTGTGTTACATTTATTCATGTATTTATTGCTTATCTAAACTACATACTGAGTATATAAGATATGTTAAGATTATTGTTAAGTAAAACCTAAGCAATACACATTTATACAAAGGATAAAAATAGAAATACTTAATACAATTCTCATTTCGTTACCAAGCAAAGTATGCTTGAGAAGGTAGGAAATTCAATGTTTTCCTAAGTTTTAAAGAAAAATAGATTTATTGTTTTGCACCTAAAACAAAATGCTGCCAGATTTGTGTTGATTTTTATGACTATAAAAAAATATCTTGTGTTGATTTTATGTCTTTAAAAAACAACAACAGTGTTCTAATGAGTACAAATGTTATCAGGTTTGCTTTAAGTGATTTTTCATAGACTAAGTTACTTACTGTTCACAGAAATCACCTCTTGCTTGTCCGAACATGCAGGAATTTCTTTTACCCAGCTAGTGACTGGTTGAAAATTTGATGATAAAAATAGTAAAGTCTGTCATATTTTTGCATGATACATTCATTTATTGAACTAGATTTATTTTTAAAGTTTTATTTTTTGAAGCATTTGATGGCATGATTTTTAAGTTTTATTTTTTTAAGGCATCTGGAGACAGTCCAGGCTTAATGAGGGCCCATCGGCCCTTTCGTGCACTGACTGGAGACGTGGTTCTTTTTAGTTTGATTTTTATAGGTATGGTGCTTTAAAAGTTTTTAGTTAAATAAATGTTTTAATTTTTTATAAAATATACCTTAATGTGAAAGAATAATAAGCAGAATTGTTTCATGAGGTAGATATTGATGATTCTGATACATTTTGCTGTCTTTGATTGTTTTAAAATTTTATTTATTTGACCTTGTTTTTATTTCTGTTTGACAAAATATTTGAATAAACTATATTGCCATTTGATGTTTAGTGGAAGTTTTTTTTCCTGATCATCTTCTGAATAACCTTTAACCTGCTGGAGCCAAATGTGGTGAGCCTTTACCATCAAAAAGAGCCAGGCCAGCCCGAACATCTGTGCTCTGTAATGTGTGTATTTATACTCAACACCGGTTGCCCATATCTGCGAGTCCTCCAAAAGAGTATTAATCATTTTATCTTTTTGGAGGATAGTGCAAGATACAAATACAGAAAGATGCCCCAACTCTAGAAGTTAATTCTGGTTTTTTAATGTGCCAAGTGTTTAAGCACTCATACACAGGACTTGGCTTTAAAGTCTCAATTATAGTTGGACATTCCAGGAATCGAACCCACAATATTGAGATTACAAATCCCGCGCTTTAACCAATAGAGCTAATCGGGCTTGCTTGTGCTCTGTACTGTTGGTAGCTCAATTTTTATATTGAAATCTCTTCAACTTTAAATGGACAGTTCCATATTCAAAGCTTGGTCAGTCCATTACTCAAATCCAGCAGGTTAAGAATAAACATACAGTGCGTACAAGTACTTCTGAGAGAAAATGTATAAGAAGTAAAAGCCTGCAACAAATTCTTCCTATGTGACCAGTGCAGACTATGTTAAACTGGCTCATCTGTGCCGTCCAATTATGATCTCCACTGCTCACTATTCAGTTGGTTCTTAAATCATGAATGTCTTCTTTTTTTTTTGAAAAATTAAAAAAGTGTTTAAAATACTATAACTATTATTGGCAAGTGAACTTGAGCTATTCTATTGCTTGTGGTTTGCTAGAAAAATTACAAATGTGTTGTGGTTATAATAAAAATGATACATTACAGTAAAAGCCTTTTACCTTGTAAGTTACATGGTAGAAATATGGTAGTGGAAATTGTAAAATTCAGTAAAATAAGATAATA